GGCTATAGCGTTAGCATTAAAAGGCTAGGAAAATGGCTCAGTCTCGGCACAGTTGTTTTCGTTCAGTCCCTGGTTGTTCGTGTGGGGCAAGAAAACAACCTTATCTGTCATATAATGCGTTCCCGACGGACCCGGACCAACGGAGGCAGTGGATCCAGGCGATCCGAAGAGATGAAGGTCCGGACTTTTGCATAAAGACGGGGAGCACTTTCGTATGTAGCCGCCACTTCACACCGGAGGATTTTGTAAGCGGATCCACCATCAGCCGCCTTAAAAGTGGAACTGTTCCTTCCCTGTTTGCCTGGAATAACTTCACTGCAACGGCAATGAGAGAGTCTGATTTCGAGAGTTTGTCCTCTCAGAAAGCTAGCCAGGCTGAAGATGCTACTGCGGACCATGACTACACGGCACATCTACCCGCAGGGGGCGGGGCGGTTGTGCGCATGCGCGGGGCTGGGGCGGTTGTGCGCATGCGCGAAACCAGGGCCGTTGTGCGCATGCGCAGGACCCGGGCGGTTGTGCGCATGCGCGGAGCGGGGGAGGTTGTGCGCATGCGCGGGGCGGGGGCGGATGTTGGGTTGGACAACTTCCGGTGGCTATAGCGTTAGCATTAAAAAGACTAGGAAAATGGCGCAGTTGTTTTTCTTCAGTCCCTCGTTGTTCATGTGGGGCAAGAAAACAGCCTTATCTGTCATATAATGCGTTCCCGACGGACCCGGACCAACGGAGGCAGTGGATCCAGGCGATCCGAAGAGATGAAGGTCCAGACTTTTGCATAAAGACGGGGAGCACTTTAGTATGCAGCCGCCACTTCACACCGGAGGATTTTGTTAGCGGATCCACCACCAACCGCCTTAAAAGTGGAGCTGTTCCTTCCCTGTTTGCCTGGAATAACTTCACTGCAACGGTAATGAGAGAGTCTGCTTTCGAGAGGGCTAAGAAACGGCAGTTTGTCCTCTCAGAAAGCTAGCCAGGCTGAAGATGATGCTGTGGACCATGACTACACGGCACATCCACCCGCAGGTAATAGATAGTATTTTGTATATATTTTCCATGCAAGATAATTTCAGTAAAATATAACTGTTGCTATAATAATATTATTATTATTATGATCACATAATTATGAGATTATGTGATTATGTATTTTGTGGAGAGATTAAGTCAATGGCTACATACATGCTCCGACTCACAATATGTATTGATTTTCACAAAAGTAATGTTTCAAATGTATAATTAAAACTTGTTGCTATCCGTATGTTTTGCTATTTTATTTTGTGGTTTTACAGGTGCACTTGATGAAGCTCTGGATTATATTAAGGAGTTGGAGGCCAGATTTCAAAAAGTGGATTTGTCTGCCACACTTTTTAGCCGCTACTGTGCCTCTGATGACCAGATCCGGTTCTACACCAAATTTCCATCTGAATGTGTGTTCCGGATCTTCTGGGAGTCCATTGCACCCTCTGCATCACGCCTGGTGTACTGGACCAGAGCACAGAAACTTGGAGAGGAAGCATGTGCTGAAGCCAGCCCTGCCTGCTGCATGTCTCTCTCAGAAATTTCTGAAGTTCTCTCCAAATGTCCGTGTCATCTTGGACTGCACAAAAGTTGCTCTAGAAAGGCCATCATCCCTCACCTTACAGTCTGAAACGTTCTCTGCCTACAAGAACCACACCGCTCTGAAAGGGCTGATTGGAGTTGCTCCCTGTGGGTTGGTGACATTTATTTCAGCGTTGTACACAGGCTGCATCTCCGACAAAGAAATAACGAAGGTCAGTGGAATCCTTCTCTGCTTGAGTTGGGAGATGAAGTCATGGCAGATAAAGGCTTCCTCATTCAAGACCTCCTTCATGAAGTTGGAGCCAAACTCATCATTCTACCATTTAAGCATCCTGGTCAGTTCAGCAAGGAAGAGACAGAGGAGACTCAGACCATTGCTCGGATGCGGATCATTGTAGAGCGAGCGATCGCTAGAGTAAAGTGCTACCACATCTGGGATTCCCTGGTGCCTCTCACTTTAATAGGAACTGTCAATCAAATCTGGCACAACTGTTGTGTTTTGGCAAATTATCAAGGCCCATTTTGTTTGCAGACTAAATTATTTCTGTATGTTAATTGTTGTAATGCTAGGTAAAAAGTAAAATGTCTAGACTTTTGCAAAAAATATTCAATTAAAACACACTTTAGCAGCACACTTGACTTTCTTTTTGTTTTAAGTTGAATTGCAAGGAAAACAAATCAAGTACAATTTACAATATCTAGTAAAAACAAAAAAATCCATAACTATTTTATAATTGTACACCATACATTGATTTAAAAATACTTAAGACAACCTCAAGGAGAAAAATGTTAAAACATAAGTTTCAAGACAACTGCAGTTAAGAAAACAAATTTTTGTAAATGATCCAACTGCCTTTTAAAGACATTTGCACATCTCTGTATGTTTCATGAGTAACAACTATTTACAGTGATTCACACAGCTTGAGATTGGATATTTGAAATGCAAAGGAACAAAAGGGTTAGTTACACATTTTATAATTCTTATTGCATTGACATGAACACATCAATGAAGGTGTTGAAGTAAAATAAGTCCAGTTTAGATTTAATTTGATCAATGAAAGCCTCATCACGCCACACCCGCTCAACAGTTATTGTTGTTAACGTGTCTGCAACAAAGTCGCACCATTCCAATCCGCTGATTGCCAGCTGACCCTGTACCTGCCAGTAGTAGGCGTGTGAACGGCTCAAAACTGCGTGGTCATCCTGGACCTTGAGGTGAGCAACCTGAGATGCATCATTCTTCATGCTGCTTTTTACCTCAACCAGTCCAAACGGGGGTGATTCTGACGGGTCGTACACCTTACCATCTGGAGTTGCACCAAGATATGATGCGTCAGGGCGAACAATGAATCCCACAGGAAGCACGTTGACCCTCAACATCTCAGCATAGTTTGCCAGCACCTCAGACTCCACCTGCAGACCACGCTTCATGGCGGCAGTTTGTCTGGTGGAGCCCCTAATCATCCGAGATGCCAGTACTGTGGCAGCTGCCCTCTCTCTCTTCCACATCCATTGAAGTTTTTGTTGGATGATGTGGGTGCCACAACTGGAAGTTCAGAGTCGTTCGCATGGTTGAAAGAAGGCAATCAGAAGATTGATTAAACTTGCTGAAGAAGCTCATATTTCCCGCACAACTCCAAAAGACAGAGAACAGTTTGCCATAAAACAGAGAAGAACAAAACAAAACAAAAATTGAGTTACTTTCTGTTTTTGAAAAGCTTGCCACATCAGCAGGAATGACTGAAGAATATACTCACGACATGTGGATAGGTTTTTCAGATTGATCATTCATGATGGTTCATAATTTTTGCCGCACACTAACTTCTGTACTCGTGTCACTACATTTTAGCAATGATTAAAAAAGCAAACTTCACTTCTTTTCACTGTTCTCTATGGCTGTCATATCAAGTCAAAGTCCTACTTTCTCAACTTATTTGTTCATGGGATGGACTGAGGCTGTGATTTATTCCTGTAACTGAGTACCAAAAAGGTTAAAAACTAAAATATTTTTTAATTAGTTATTTATTTATGAAAATGCAATTGAAAATGCAAATAAAACAAGAAATGACTGTTTTTGTAAATTATTGTAAAAATCTGAATGTTAAATTTAAGTTTAAAGTCAAGTTTTTTGCGTGTTTTTAAAATAAAATCTTGAAATATTCGGTTCTGTTCAGTTGTTCACACTGTGCAATGTGAAATACTGTCACTGTGATGCTTCAAAGGAGATCTGACTGGTTAACGTCCACAGTAAGTCACCTTCAGAGCTCCATACACCGACGCGGAATCTCACAGGTCACAAAAAACTACAGAATTAGACCATGAACTAAATATTAAATATATTTATTAATTGTTAATTTGTTGGCTAAATCAAGACAAGTTTGTTGAGTTGTATATATGATGTAGATTTTATGTATTTTTTTCTTTTTTTTATTCTTATTATTTTATTGGCTAAGAATCAGTTTACTGCCAAAATTTTTTTTTGCCATTTACATTTGTATTATGTTACCTATATATTGTATGTGATTTTATGTATATAGTATTTTTATTGAAACATGACACAACAGAAATGGAACAGCTGTTTTTTAAATTCCACAATGAAACGCTGCCACCTTGTGGCTGTTGTTGTTCTTCCAAATTCTTTGTTATAATTGTTTGCTTTAAGACTTCATAAGAGTGCCTGTTACTTGTGAACCTTTTTTAACCACCTTGGTTTTCCTTCCACTTAAATTTCCATTACATGCAGCAGTCTGATCTCCCAAATTCTTGGCACCTTACACTTCTTGTGAAGGGTGTCGTTGATGGTCTGTATAGAAGACAGCCAACTGTCTTCTATGATTGTGTAGGCTATAAAATAGAATTCTTGTTTTAGAAATATGTTCTTTGTTCAAAATATGTTGCATTCCAATTTTATTATGAACTAAATTTTTAGCAGAGTTTCACTTTGATGTCACTATTTCAGGAGTGGATTAGTACATTGAATGTGACAGCTCTGGACTAGATACAGTCCACAACTTGTAAATTTCCTCCAATATCTTGAATTGGTTTTGTCTCACAATCCTCTAAAAAACTGCAGGTTTCCTTATTGATCATATACTTATTTCAGCCACTTTTTTCCTTCCACTTAATTTTCCATTAACACACCACTTTGTGAACTTTCAGCTCCTTTTTAAATGACATTTTGCCCTTTGCCATAATTCCACATAGATGAATAAAAATTCTTGTCAGCTAAAGAAAAGTCAGAAATGGTCAAATTTGCTTAGAGTCTGACTCTATTTACACAAGTTTCATACAGTGATGGTGTTGGATAAAAGAACTTGTCGATTGAGCTGCAGCTGGACAGAGCGTCCTGAAGGGTTTTCTCTCATGCAGTCTGCAGCCTATAGGGCAGCTCTTGTGATGCTGCGCTGTGTGAGGAATCAAAGCGCAGGCGTCGAGTCGGGAGGGAGCCTATCTTGCGCAGACTGGGTAGCTTTACTGTACATGGCCATTAATACCGCTGTGGATGGATGTAGCCGCTGTTGTGAATCAGAATGGCGAGGACAGCAAATATAACGCGCCGAGTTACCTCTGCTTGACACCAGAGCTCGCCTCTTCAACCGCCATCGGGTCTTTTGTTTTTATTTTTAAATTAAGAGACGCTTCTTGAATTCAGCCGAATCTCGCCTTGACAAGCCCGCACCGATGGTTTTCATTTGACACAAAGCAGACAGGCGGCTTCTCCTAATAAACAGTCGGGAAGAAAAGCGGGTCATTATGACCTTAGTATCCGTCAATAAAAGAAAACCACCGGATTGCTTTTACGCGGCAGCGCTCTGCTTGCATCTCTTGCTTTGGATTTCGCGATCCGTGTCCGGAGAGGAGCAGCATCAGTTCAGCGTTGAGGTAAGATTTTTTTTCCCCCTCTCTTTGCACGGCCTTCCCTCCTCCTCTCCTCCACATCATCTGCCTCTGCGTGAAAAACAACATATATGCAGGCTGGGTCTGCGCGCTGTGGCTCCTATCATCACGATGGAGACATTACGAGATGCAGATAAAAACATTTTCCTCCTTGGATCCTTCATTTATCGTGAAACAGCTCATATGAGGATGTTACATTGGTGCTTGAACTAGATGTGATGCTTGTTTTCCCATTGAAGGTATTTTCATGGCAGGTCATCGTGAGGTGAGGCTGGGAGATGTTTTGACAGCATCATATAGTGTTAAAGAAGATTAAACATTTACAAGTTGCATAATAGGATTTGCTAGTTTGCAGCTGATTAATTGATGCCATTTCCATCCTCACCACAGTCTGCACCCTCCTTACACCCCCCATCCCCAGCTCCCTCCTCCTTCCACTCTGGAGAAATTAAATGCTGAAACTGACAGTAACACACACGCATCATTATTCAATTTAATGGCTCGCTTCAATCCTTCCAGGATCTGTCTAAAAATCACTGTCTATAGACAAAACACAAGACTCAGAGGCAAGACGAGGATAAACAAGAGATTTAGATGAGTAGAGAAGGAAAGATTGGGGAGCAATGAGCAGTGATAAACAGAGGAAGCAGATCAGCTACAGATGATGAGGACACACCTGGGCATGTCTTTAGGTCTGAGTCTGGTGATGCTTTTTGTATGCATTAACTCCTAGTCTGGTTTAGTAGAGGATGAAAAGAGGACTGGGCCACAGTCTTTCACATGCACACACACCAACCGGAAGCTGCAAAGACACAAACACTCGACTGCTGTCACCATCAGTGCTTTCTCAGCTTCTGGTGAATACATTTAAAACTAAAGCCCTGCCGAGTGGACTGTTTCTAACGATGCACATTTTCAATTCTGCTGACTAGCTCCGATAAGCATTCCAGGCTCACTGTAGAGGCTTGACTATAAAAGAGTAAGATGATAAATAACAGTCAGTGCAAGGCATTGGGTGGTATGGGATTCTCACTGCATAATAATCCTGAATAAAATTATTTGTACAAAAATGTAAAATAAGTATCTAACAGCTTTTTTTCCCCTCAAAGAACAATAATCATTCCTTTTGCTGTTCAAATGACACAAAGTGCCATCAGAAAGTATTCACTCCCAGTCAGTTTTTGCACTTTTTTCTTACTCCACAGTCTCATTCTAAAACCAGTTTGAGTGAATTTTAAATTATTTTAAATACAGTTTATATTTATACCATTAATTCATGACAACTGTCATCTGAAGACCCTTTTACAAGGCAAACACTTGTTAAAAGGTGCACTCAGTTTACATTCAGAAATGTTTTATGAAAACATCCCAATCATATAAACAGAGTATATTTATTACATTCCAATTCAATCCCAGGTATAATACAATGCAATTAAAATTTTGTTTATATTGTATGATAGTTCATACAATGCAAAACCGTGTTTTCAGAGATTGATTTGTAAGTTTATATTAAAAAATGCATTTTACCAAGGTAAATATGCTGACTTTATATAGGGCTTAAATTAAGCTCAAGTGTCCCTGATTTCCATTGACATGCTTCTGTAACCTGATCCAATATACTTAGTTGACTAAACTTGAATTGGAATGGAAAACAGTGGACTATGTAAAGTCTTATACTTAATGGTGCATATTACAGTGGAAACCAAGCAATCAAGTTTCAAGGGAATTTTTCTCTAGGTCCTCCAAGATCAGAACGTTCTGAAAATAACAGTGTGGTCTATTATTTAGAAGAAATGCAAAACCTCCAGACCCCCCTCTAGATTAAACTGACTTATTATGGAACAAAACCCTTTGCCAGAGGGTGCAAAGAACTCAAAAGTCACTAAGGTGAAGATTCAGTGTTTCTTTGTGAAAATAGAAGAACCATTTGCTAACTCACTCCATTTATCAGGCTTTGTGGTAGAGAGATCCGACAGGAAGCAACACTCAACGACAGCTTATTTAAATTTTGCCCTAAAAGCACCTTAGTGACTACCAATCCATGACAAAATATCTCACTGGCCACTGAAGCATCGAGGTGGCAGCATTATGATCTGGTGATGTTGCAGCAGAAGATGTGCAACAACTCTGCAAAGATGGTTAGATCACTAAACCTAGTATTAAAATCTTTCAAGAATACCAGAACTCTCTGGACTTCAGATTAATTGTCAGATTATCTTCCAACACGTCAATAGACTGAAGCACACACTCAGGAAACCAAAGGAGTGGCTTAAGGGCCAGTTCATAAATGTTTGCGAGACGAGTTAAACGTGTTTGGAGAGAAATAAAATGGACTTGGATGGACATCAATGAGTAGATATGCTTAGAAGAATGAGAGAAAACATCCCCTAAGATGTTAGTTACTCTAGAACTTTGAGCAAAAAAGTAGTGTCAGTCTATATAAACAAGCTGATTTCACCTGGTTGGGCTACCTGCTTGGGGGCTGCATGGTGGAGTGGTTGTTAGTTCTGTTGCCTTGCAACAAGAAGGTCCTGGTTTTCATTTCAGGCCTGCGGTCTTGCTGCATGGAGTTTGCATGTCATTCCAATGCATCCATGAACTCTCTAGAGTACTGCAGCATCCATGGTTCAAAATATGCATGTTTTGTTGATTGGTCTTATTAAATTACTTTTAGAAGTGTGTGCATGGTTGTTTGTTTCTGTGGTGTCCTGGCAACCTATCCAGGTTGAACTCTGCCTCTTGCTTAGAGATAGCTGGAAGTAGGTGTGCTCCCCCTTGCAGCTCTGTACAGATAAGCAGATACAGACAATGGTAGGAAATTAGCTTGGGAACTCAGTCAACATTTACACTTGGTACTCAGGTGGGCTGGATATGGGAGGGAAACTGTGCCACATAAGAGATTTGTCCATGTGTTACATAATGTTCCCATCTAAATTGCCTGCTTACATTTGATGCAAGAGAAGTTTTTAAAAAGATGTTGTCTTTGTTGCATCACTCAATTTAATAGATTTTCTTTAAAATCCATTTAAGACCCACATAAAATGTGCACAACTTTTCTTACTAATATGAGGTTTATTTGGTGAACCAAAGTGGGTTCTAAGAAGCTCACTGCGATTCCAACCCTGTACTCACCAGGAACGAAAAAGTATGTATGGGTTTAGAGTGTTTTTTTTTTTTATTAAATAATGATAACTTCCCATTCTGAAACACATATAAAAATCAACCCATTGACCTTTGGAGGAAGATAGTCACTGCTTCAAGACACACATCTTCATAGTGTTTTGATCTCCACCTTGGCAGAGATCTATCTTCATTAATGTTTGTCTGTTAGCAGGTTTTGTGCCAATTCTGTCAACATGGATTTAACCAGTCTTGGTAGAGAGCTGAAGTGCAGACAAAGGAAGCACCCATTATATTTTGGAGCAGATCCAGATCACTTACACTTGCAAGACTTTGTCATTGGATTTCTCTCGCACCATGTCTAAGTGCTCTACTAATCTTCCAAGAGACTGGAAGAGGAGAGTTGAACTTAAAGAATAGAAGTTTACTTTTATTTTTTTTTCAAAGTAAAGTTGCATTTTTCAGAAAAGTTAACACTTTTGTATGAGGCAACTTTTGCATTAGGGCATTGTTGCCAACAGCTTATCAGCTTATCACCAACATAACACTGGAAGAGACTTATGACCCAATACTTAACCTTACAAGAATTTACTTGCCGGTAAAGAAAAACCATCATAAATCCAAGTATTAAATTAATCTGTTTGCAAATACTGTCTTTACTTCTTGAAGGGAATTATAGCAAAATCTGCTTTTTAAATAGGAGATTTTAAAAAACGGTTTGTAATCATTTTCTAAAGTGAAGCCTAAGTCCTCTGTTGGGAGTTTGTAACCCAAGTTTGGGAAACAATTGTCTTGTTTCAGCTGATGCTGCAGCCTTTCCACTTTGTCGCCTTTGTGGCTTAAATCATTAATGTCAACCCTGAAAAATCTGAAATAATACCGTTTGTTATGCAGATCTAATACAGCAAGGTACAAGACCCACTTTATTGTATTATATCCATATAGGCTTCCCTTGGACATCTTGTTTTTTTTAATCCGTTGGGAACAACCTTTTAGGGCATTAGAATGGACATTTATTTACTTAAAGTTATTTCAACAAAGTTATTTTTTTCTCATTTGATTGCAGTGGTATTTGAAGCTTTAAGCAAAGCAATATTGCAGTGGAGGAATCTTTGCGGTCTGTATTTATGCTGCATAGACAACATGAATAGAGTGTCTGAAATAAGCATTCCTCTAACAAAGATTTCTTTCACTTTTATATTTAAAGCAGCTTTTTATCTCTGCGTTTTTAAATTTTATCTTTGATTAAACTTGTGTAACGTGCAATGTTCTGGGATGGGATGGGTTAGGATTATGTTTTTTTTTTGTTTTGTTTTTTTTATCTTACCCCTTGCAGGGATGGCTACAGAGGTATGGATACCTTCCCCACACAGAACCGGGAATGTCTGTCCTGCGCTCAGCCAAAACCATGCAGTCAGCCATTGCTGCTATGCAGCGCATCTACGGTCTCAATGTCACAGGGACGCTGGATGAGACAACCAAGGAGTAAGTAGACACATGACATGTGTTGCAGATGCACAAACACAACCTGTGCAACACAAACACCTGAATAAGACACATGATGCCGCTTGTCATCCATGTATACTTGAAAAGTAGGTCAAAATTTTATTGAGAATTCTGAAAAATTAGAGTCTGAAAACCCTTTTATTTTTTTAGAAGTACCAGTAGGAACTATGATTATCTTAATGGGCTGCTGAAGGATAGATACAGATTTTTTTTTCCTCTTGCCCTCCTTCACCTGAAACAACAGTGGGTGAAGGTTTTAACACTTTTCCCTCTTCTCGTTTTGCATGATCATGCAGTGATATCACTCTAAGGTGAGAACGAATGTTTTTGCCATTATATTGTGTCTGTTCAGTAGTTGTGATAAATTATGTTGTACGAATGAGAACTGTATTCTTAGAAGTAGTTTAGCAGTGTTTTTGCATCCATTTATTTCCTTGGCCGCCGTGGTTCAGTCCCCGAGAAGAGAACTGACGAGTTCACTTCTGCGCTTTGTGTCATCATAGAGTGTAAACTGTGATGCAAAAATGCTGAATGGAATATTAACTTTATTTTATTTTTCCTTTACGTTTTAGATGGATGCAGAGGCCACGCTGTGGAGTTCCAGATAAAATTAAAAGTGCCACAAGGTCAAGAAGGAGGAGATACGCGCTGACAGGGCAGAAGTGGCAGCGAACGCACATAACCTACAGGTGAGAGACAGAAACATCAGCTGTGATGGCCGGCAAGTTTCTTCAGATCTATTACTTTCCCCTTATAACATTTTATTTCAATAGTGTCTCAATCTAGCATATTTTGTTTGTTTGTTCATTTTGTAATTTATTTTATTATTATTTTTATTAACTTGTATATTTAAAAATACATATGTCTTGTTTTATTTTTAATACATTTTACAAATTTTGTTTGTTCTTTTCATTTTATTTAGTTTTACACCATTTGTTAATATATTTTTACTGCCTTTAACCACCTGGGGTTGTTTGCTACTTGTCATAGAGACTGAACAAATATGTAGCTTGTGGGGGGGGCATTCACACATGCACATGCCAACAGATTAACACCTAAATTGTGTATTGCGTATGTGCTGTTCATTGTATAAAATAGTATGTAGCACAGTTAAAAACAAATTAGGATGCTTTTTGAACCATTACACAATCTCTTTTCCGTTCATTAAGCTAAATAAACTGCCCTCGCCCTGATATATGAAAATGGGAGAATAAACTATCCACAATCTCAGCAGAAATATCTTATCTGCTATAATTAAGCTTTGGGTTTTAATGGGCCTGAGGAGGACTGATAAACGGGTCTGCAGCCCAACTGCAAATTGACAGGTTACAGCAGTAATAGATGATAACACTGCCAATTTATTTAAATCCTTCCTTGCTTGCTCACTGAATTTGAATTGATGAGCAACCTCGTCTAATGGAATGTCAATCAGTGCTGAGTCGGTGCTGCCGCCGCCACTGCCCGGGCTTTATTCACAAAAACGAGTGAATAGTGAGAGAGAGGAGAAGATGATTTCCGCCTTCCTCTCTGCCTGCCAGGGGCTGATAACGACTGGTGTGTTAAAAGTTCAGTGAAAGCTAGTGAAAGCTGTTGGTCTTTAGTTGTCTCAAGTGTTACTTTTTTTACCCAGTGTCGCTTCATTCTAAAAACTGGAAATATTCACTCCAAATTAATGAGCTAAAAACTCAATGGGGAGAAGCGTGGAGGATTTTACTTCCATATTTTGCCAGCCTCCACCCCTCTGAAGCCTCTCAAGCAGTTTCTTGTTTATCTTCCTGCAGCATAAAAAATATCACACCAAAGGTGGGTGCCCGGGAGACTCATGATGCCATCCGGAGGGCGTTTGATGTGTGGCAGGGTGTAACTCCCCTGCGCTTCGAGGCCGTTCCATACAGTGCCCTGGAGACTGGCAGGCGTGACGTGGACATCACCATCATCTTCGCTTCTGGCTTTCACGGTGACAGCTCGCCCTTCGATGGGGAGGGCGGATTCCTCGCCCATGCCTATTTCCCAGGGCCTGGCATCGGAGGAGACACACACTTTGACTCAGATGAGCCTTGGACCCTTGGAAACCCCAACCATGACGGTGAGAAGGGAATGTAAACCAAAATCAGAAAACAGTGGTATATGTTCCCATCGCCCTTTACTCTGATACACCTAAATAAAACCCAGTGTAATCAATGCCCTTCAGAAGTCAACAAATTGTTAAATGTTAATTTAATCAAAATAAATGTTGCATCATGGACACAATTGCCTAACCCCAATGTGTTCTTGTGTCAAAATGGCCAAGTTAAAGTAATGGTCCAAATCCAATTCAGAATCTGACATTTTTATCTACATCACATTTGACTGAGTTAGTGCAGAAAGAAGAATGGGGAAAAATATCTATCCGTGAAAAGCTGATATAGACATAGACCAAAATATTTGCAGGTTTATAATCAATTTATAATTGATTTGACTCGGGGAGGACTGAATACCAATACATGCCACACTTTTCAGATCTTGTTTGTGAAAATATGTTGAATGCATCTATGACATAAAAGCACAATAAACAATTGTAAGGTTTGTGGTTGCAACATGACTAAATTAGAAAGAAAATGATACGAGTCTTTACTAGATATAATAGAAATAGAGAGAAGAGGCAACAGCAGAGAGACAGATGACAAAGATGATGGAGAAATAAATAACCCTGAGAGGAAGAGGTGAGGAAAGCAAACAGTAAAAAGTGCAGTCTTGTGGAGAGATGGATAAGAAGTGATGGATGCCAGATGAGGGGAGTACAGATGGCCTGGCTGGAGGGTGTTATGAGAACGACGGTATCGCAGGGCAGAGTGTGAGGGACGCTCAGCCAAAAACAAAGAGCGCTAAGATGTGTTTGATGCGGTGTCGCTCTATAAAGATGAATCCCCCCATCTGTCAGGACTTTGGTATCTGTCTGTATAATAAGCTCTTCAGATGACAGGATAGAGAGCGATGCTATTTTAGGAGTTTTGCTTTTGCTGGCACATGATTATGGTTATCCACATTTATTGAATTTGATGTAGCTGAGTGGTTGCAGTGGCACAGCTCAGAGAGGAGAATAGGATACCTTTTTGAGGCATTCAACCAAACACTCCCTAATTACTCTACCTACGGGTAGAAGGGTTGTGAAAGCACCACCAGGCGGTTTCGCTATTATCCAGCTGCTGTGCAGAAACTTTCTCCCCTTCCATTAGAGAGGGAGGGGGGGTGTGGCTTGCATTGTGTTTGTGCAGGGATACCACTTGCCACCCATCAGCTCCTTTCCTTCGCGCTCTCTTTTTGTTCTCTAATGATAATAGTCTTAGACTCCCAAGTCAGATGCATGCTCGCCCCTGAGCAGCATGCCATTGTCATCCATTTGGAGCGCTGATACTAAAGGAGGAAAAAAAAAAACGCTCCTGTCTCAGCATGTGTGCCAAGGAAGCTGCACCATCTTTAATGGGTTTTCACAGCAGTGCATCTGTAAATGCTGCATGTTGACATGTGTGCTAATGGTAGCTCCAGTCTGTCTTCAGGGAATCGTTGTGGGGCGTTTTCGCATATCTGTGGCAGAGGCTGTTTGGATGAGGTGAAAGTGGGAGAGGGGAAAGTGTAACCTTTTTGCTGCTGGCTGAGGGTCAGTGGTGGTTTTATGCAGCGCTCCTGGCATGAGTGCATATCATCCTTGCAAAGGGCAACCATCTCTTCGGGACAAGTTCAGTCACTGTTTGTACATAAGAGTTGTAATTCCTCCTAAATCAAACTGACACGCTGAGCTGACTACATCCACTGGTTGTGGAATTTTTACTTTTGCATCTGTCTTTGTTTGTGTGTAACACACAGCGGTTCTTGGCCGACATTTTTTAATGCTCAGGTGCATTACGTGCATGTCCTTGGCAAAAACGTGAATGTGTGTCCTTCTGCTTTATTCGAGCCCAGGAGAAAGTCTTGTTGCTTCATGATTCATTTCCCGTAATCTTAACTAATTTTTATTATAACTCTGGAGCAGGGAAAGTAAGTAGTTATTTTGATTTTGTGGCTTATGTATTTGAATTATTTTGTGAAAAACAATAAAAATACAACAAAATTAAATGCACGTGTCTGTGCAGGGTTGATAAAACTCAGTTTAAACAAGCAGGTAAAAACTGATGTGTGGAAAAAAAAATAAAAGCATTGATAACAAATATTGACTGAGTCATGCATTTGCGTTATAATGGTTGATTTGATGTCTGTCACTGAATTCTTTGTTCCCAAATGGACACACTCTTCACAGCATATGTGCAAAAATAATACGAGTCAATATGTGTTAAAAATTAGATGTAGAAGTAACATCAGTAATAAAAACACACAAAGTATAAAAATAAATCTAAATGCAAACACAGTTTCTCATTGCCCAAAGCTCAGAGATATAATGCCTTATAAAAGTATTCATGTCCCTTGAGCTTTTCTTGAATACATGACCTTACAGCAACAAACTTCAGTGCCATTTTTGATGCACCATTGCAAATGATCATAGAAGTGGAATTGGAAAGAAAGTGAACAACTGTTCCAAAATATTTTAACATATACAATCACAAAAATGTAAATTGTACTTTCTTCCACCCCCTTTATACTGATACCCCTAAGTAAGTTTCAGTTAAACCCATTTGTCTAAACTAAAAAGGATGAAGAAGGAGTGCAATAATTAGAGAAGAAGTCAAGATACATGGCAGCTTCGTACTAAAGGTCGGTGTCTTTGGTGCAAAGGAATGTAAACACACAGGACAGGGATACTGGTCAGAGTTAATGAGAAAAATCATGGAACTTAATAAAGTGCAATCCTGGAAGAAAAAAAACTTTTGGACACACTCTGGGAACATTTGGTGGGTAAAGAAAACAACACGTGTGATAGGTTTGTTCTCAACCTACATAAAAAGAGAATCACAGACAAAGTTTATAAGTTCTCTATCAAGCCTTTTGCGAAAGGGGAAGACATAGAGAACTGCTCCTTTGAACAGTTCACCATGCATTCTGACTCTGCTTCAGCGCTTGTCTTTTTTATCAACACAAACCAAAGCAGGAGTGAAAGGAATGCAGGGGTAATAAATCAAAGAAGGGAGCCATTCTGATAAGAAGGAAGGAGGAACACAGGAACTAACATTCTACACACAGGTAGTTTCACAAATAAGGAGTAGCTAGGGAAACAGCTGCAAGGTTAAGAAAAAGCAAGTTTTGTCTTTCACACGGTTTAACAAATTCACTAAACTTTTACATGAAAAACAAACTGGCAAACCTACTAATGTAAGAATGATATAAAAACTTACTAATTCTATCAATGTGCAATCATGAAATCATTTTAGAAACAACTTTTTGAATGTTGAAATTTGTTTTAATCAAAATTTTTTAGCCTTATCATTATTTACTGATATTACGTCATTTTCTTTTTCGCTTAGAGGTAGTGCCATGTTTTTTTTACATTTGGTATGTTCTGAAATCTACTTAGACGGCCTCTTGCTATATATTTCAATTATTTGATGTGGGGAATACACGAGTCAGTTTCTAACATTTAGACTTCTGTAAAGTCTGTTTATATTGTCCTGGATAAAGTCAAGGATTTAAATTCTCACTGCAGATCTTCTCTTCCCCTTTCTAGGAAATGATCTCTTCTTGGTTGCAGTTCATGAGCTGGGGCACGCCCTCGGCCTTGAGCACTCGAATGATCCCACTGCTATCATGGCTCCTTTCTACCAGTATATGGACACAGAGAATTTCAAACTACCTCAAGATGACTTGCAGGGAATCCAGAAAATCTATGGTAATGTACCACAAAACAATCTCCTTTCAAATAATAAATCCTTAAGTAACAGTTTGTATGAGTTAAAATGTTCCAACATTTTATTAAAGATGTACCACATCACAAAACATCAAATTGCAAAGCTCTGAAACTTCGTCAACATTGCAAACGCTGCTGCGTCAGTCATGCTGGGTTGAATGCCAGTAAACAGCATTTGTCAGCTGCTAAAGAGGTCAGCCAATTTGTGTTTTTCAAAGCAATGTGAGTCAACTAACAGATTGCAAAAGAGGAAAAATAATCAGTGCCAAAAGAAATGGTTGCATTGGTTAAAATATCTCTCAGTGGGGACAGTCTTTGAAATTGCTAAATATCATAAAAGCACAGCAGTGAAGTTCTGATTCACAGGAACAGGTTGTAACTCTGCAGTTTGTATTTATAGGACCACCAGATAAAGCTCCACAGCCCACCAGTCCGCCGCCTACAGTTCCACCTCCTCGTTTCCATCCGCCCTCAGACCCCCGGAAACACGACCGCCATGCAAGACCCCATCGCCCTCCGCAGGGGTCCAAGCCGTCTAACCCCAACTCCAAACCAAACATTTGTGATGGAGGCTTCAACACTCTGGCCATCCTACGCCAGGAGCTGTTTGTCTTCAAGGTAAAGCGAATTATCACCATGAGGAAAGCATTCCTGCTGATGTTTCAGCCATGTCAGGTAATGACAATATTGCATGTCTTGTTTCTGCAGGATCAATGGTTCTGGAGAGTACGGGACAATTCAGTGGTCCCCGGCTACCCCATGCCGATCAACCACTTCTGGCAAGGCTTGCCTCCCAAAATTGATGCAGTGTATGAAAACAGCGAAGGGAAGTTTGTCTTTTTTAAAGGTAATATAAAGTATATATTTGTAAATTGAATTGCAGAGAATTGAAGCAAGATTATTGACTTTTTTTGTTGCAAACAAAAATCTAAACGCTTTGTTGCGCATTTGTAATAAACCCTTCAATTCAAATGTTAATGTCAGCTATTTCATAAAGTCCACAGCAGCATAGTTTAATCTCAGCCTAAATGCAGCTGTTCTGTAAAGGTCAATCCGCAAAATAAAGTGTAAATAGTCTGGAACCTTTCTAGATATTACTGTCCACCTAAACTAACAGGCTAAGCAAGGAGTATCGAGAATTGATCAGAGATGCAGCCAAGTAGCCCATGGTAACTCTGGAGGAGCTGTAGAGATGCAAAAGTCAGATGGGAGAATCTTTTGACAGGACATTCATAGTTATAACCTCCATTAGTCTTTGACAGCTTTTCAGATGAAGCCAACAAGATGTCTCGTCTGTCACCATTTAAGTAGGGGTCACAGGAAATAGCTGCAGAGAGACAGAGGCCAGAATTTTCCAGCTTTTCAACTGCTTCAGACAACCCAAACAATTTGTAGCCATACTTTCAGCAAAAGTTGGTTCTATAAAGTTTGAGAATTCTGGTTTGCAGATACGTACTAAATAGTTTGCAGATTTTTTAAAAATTGTGCACCATGTATAATTATTTTTCCAATTGTGCATCACATGAAATCTCAGAGAAATACATTTAAAAAAAACATTAAAATGTATAGTTATAATGTGACAGTTGTGGTATTGGTGCATTAGTAAAATATCAATTTGGAAACATCATGACTGATATAACTTGAACTGTCAGCTCTTAAACACACAATATCTTCTTTGCTACTTGAAACCAGAGTGGTTCACCGTGGGGTTTCGTAGACGTCTGCATGGTTGGAGAATGGGTGTAGGTCCCAGAGAGACATCCGTCCATCAGACAGATTAACATGACATCTGTCACCCAGTGGGATCAGAGGGCCTCATGCTTTATTTATTCACTCTGAAGGACTTAACCATGTGCGTACTCGTGGCTGTGTGCACGAGAGCGTCTAGCCACCTCGCGCTCACACAAGCACACGCAAACACTGCACCACAACAGCTTTCTTTCCTTTGCCCGAGGCAGTTATGATCAAATTGAATTAAACGCAACAATAACTTCAATAAGACTCAAAACAACAAGACTCAGCAGAGTTGCCTTCAGAGCACCATCAAGCTTACATTCTGTGCTGCGATGATAATCTTTAAACGAGCTTATGAAACATCTCGTCTGTGAAATCTCATGAAGAAAAATAACCCACAAAGAGGGGCATGAACAAGTAGGGATATTGCAGTTTTTTATTTGGTGTGATTCCAGGTTGTTGCCCATACTAACCTTGTTTCTGTGTTTCAGGAAACCGCTTCTGGGTGTTCAAGGATCGGCATCTTCAGCCTTCCTACCCTCAGGACATTTCTCTGTTCGGTAGCGGCATGCCCACACAGAGTATCGAGACGGCCGTCTGGTGGGAAGATGTCGCTAAGACCTACTTCTTCAAAGGAGACAGGTTTGTTTGGATCATTAGTTCCAGTGCCAGTTTTTCACTTCACTTCAGTTCATCTTTGTCCCCACAAGGAAAAATTTGGTGCACAGCGGCAGTCAAAGACAGTCGAGGCATAATCCACACGTCAACAAGTAATAAAACATTCTAAAAGTTTCAATTGTGCTTGGGACAAAAAGTATTTGGACTGATTGCACCTTATGGTTGGTCTGTGTTTGACTTAAGGGAAGGGAAACGATCCTAATGTGGGTGGTTTCTGCTGGCTAGGATAGTTTTGGCCTTTTTAACAACTTGTATGTTCCAGTCATCCTATAGGGGCGATGTTGAAAACCAATTGTAGCTGCTTTAGCCAATATAATATATCAAAATAAATGAATAAAAAAATGTTAAAAAATATTTTTTATATATATTTGTAATTCAACTTATGAATTACGAACAGAAGATGAGAGGTTGTGTTTTAAATCATCTCGATGTGGAATATTTTCTTTGTGATTTCACCAGTCTGTAGGGCAAATTCTGTTTTCTTGTTGTTTTTTTCGATGCTCAGTTGAGTATCATTCTAATTAGAACAGCAAAATATACAGAATCATAATTATTATTGCAGTTTTGAATATGTGTTTCTGTGCACTCTGGGAGGTGACTTGAAGTTAAATCCCTTAAAAGCAAAAATCTTTAAGGGACTTATAAGTTATATTTAACTTTTTCAATCAGTTAAACATAAATTGTAAATTTTTATCTTAATCAAAGAGTCAAATAATTCAAGAGTGATTTGATTTAATATTTAACATTGTGTGGAACTTTTTCACTTCAACCCCATAAAAACTACTTTGCTTTTTTACATTTCTACACTTTCTCAAATCCTGAGTGCATTTTTTTGTAGCCACAAAAGTGATACTCAGGTTTAACTTTAACAACTTTGATTAAGTTTTGTTTTGTTTTTTTATGGGACCAGGTGTTAGCTTAGTTCAAAGGAACTTCAAGATAATTTTTGTTGTCTCTCCAGAATGCCTGAAGCAGAAGATCTGTTGTTTATTTACGTGCGTCAGAGCCGTTGTACAGTATGAGAATATGCCAGTCTGACTCACATGTTCAGCTGTTGAGATAAATCATATCCCGAAAGGTCACAGGACCCTGTGGACGGAGCTGGCAAAGCACTTTGTCATCTCCATCCACAGATTCTTCTATTTAATAAAAGAGGGATGTTGTGCAGATCATTTTAAAGTTGATTTTATCTCTCAGCAGGGATGTGTGACGGGGGGCTAATGGCGCTCTACTTCAAATGGCTTTTTTATCTATAGTTTTACGGGTTTGCACAGCAGCATGTGAGGAGCTCGTCACTCACAAAAACTTCTGAGGCTAATCTGCAATGCAGATAGACATGCCGTGGATGACTGATTGATTGGATTTTCCTGTCATGTGAAATGAGTCAGCCAATGTTCCTTTCTTTTAAAGTATCATCATATAAGTTGGAGTAATTCTGTCTTATTACAGATATCTAAGGAACACTGACAATCAAGTTGTTTAAGTTCTGTATATTTATACGTTTCAAATTGTATATGGTAATAACATCCACTCAGCTCTCATTAATAACTAAAGTCAGCACAAATTTTTATGTTTACTTGGTAAACTTAGAGCTTAAATTAGCTCTCATCTCTTCACTAAGCAAGAATTGAACATGAGTATTAGAAATATAAAAGGAAGCTTTAATAAAACATGCCAAAGCATTCAGATCAAACCTTATAAAATTGTAGCATTTCATTTATTGCCTTTGCAAACTAAAACACGGGGGGATATGGTTGATAGAAGTAAGTTGTGTTGGAAAATCTAATAAGTTAGTAGGCATGGAGCTGGAGAGATGCTTGAATTTAATTGTATTTGTTTAGCTCTCCACATCATCACTGCTGCTATCGGCACATTCACTTTCACTGCAACCCCACAAAAACCCCCAAAACAGCATCATGAACGACTACAAAATATGAAAATGCAAGCAAAAGGTTATGACTCTGCAGATAAATGCCTTACATATTTTTATCTAGCTACAAAAAAACGATTCAGCAAATTTACCTTGTTCTTTTTTGGGGTATTCTGCTTTGTGTGCATCTTAGGAACAGAGAAAGTGCAATACCTACACACTTTATGCTTTTGTCCTAATTATATATGTTTTAAATAGTAGCAGAGAAAACTGTTCTCTGTCTATGTGAGGACAGAGTCTTTGTCCATATTGGATCAATATGAAGTAGCCAACTCCAAATCCTCTGAACTGTTGGTACTTATCACTGTCTTTCTTTGTTTTTAGATACTGGAGGTATAACGAGGAGATGAGGACGATGGACCCAGGTTACCCTAAACCCATCTCTATCTGGAAGGGCATCCCTGACTCTCCACAAGGCGCTTTTGTGGACAAGGCAAATGGTATATGAATTGCAAAAATTATAGGAATCGCTAAAGATCCCCATAAAATAAACGCTGGAGTGGGATCAATATTTATCTTTCCATCACAGACGGTGAAGACGTTTTTAAGGGACTTCCAGAGCTCACTGTTGGAGAACTGCATCAAAGTTATCTTGAAAATTCTCCATAAAAAACATTAGACCCAAGCCACATCCAAATGGTTGTTAGGGGGAGAAAATGGAGGAAAAATTTCTTTTCTATCTTTATGTCACATGTATAAGCTTGTGGTGTTTGCTAACCTTGAGTACCTTTTTGAAAATGGCAGAAATTTTTGTTTTAAAATCTGGTGGTTTCTGTCAAAAAAAAAAAAAAAAATAAAATTGACCGTCACTGACTCATGAAAAGATTGTCATTTCAATCTGTGATGACAGAACTAAATGTTTGACCCTGGAATTTAAATTTTTTTTTTCTTCATTTTTTCAAGATGTCAAAATGTATTTATTTCAAGCAGTTAAACTAGGCAACAAGATTCTATGAAACAGTGTCATTGCTTTTAAATTGTTTTTCTATTGTTTTACACTTGTATATACTGTATGTATTAATTGGTTTTATTCTGTAACCAGGTTGCTGTGTACTGCAGACTTCTGCCCAGGTCCCTCTTGAAAATGAGATTCAAATCTCAATGGGGTTCACCTGGTTAAATAAAGGACAGAAAAAATTATAATAATTTTTATTTGAAAATTTGTTTCTGCCTTTTTTTAGACAACATTGGGATTGTTTTAGTTAATTTCATATGATAATTTTATGCTTGTAAATTTGCATTTCATTTTTCAATGATGAATTTTATAGTGATAATTTAATAGATATGTTTTTCATCTTCAGAATAATTTTATGTCTAAAATCTTAGCAAGAAAGCATATTATCAGACAAAAGACAATCAGTAAAACAGATAGTTTTGTAGTTCAACATAATGACATCCCACTTGCAGTGCTTCACTTGACAGCAAAATAACTGAACAGGGCATCATTATGGTTACCTTAACTAGTGTAATACTCAATCCTAACAAACTAACTAACTTTCTCCCCTTTATTTTCATATTTCCATTGCAGGTTTTACCTACTTCTACAAGGGAAAAGAGTACTGGAAGTTTAACAACCAGCTGCTTCGCGTGGAGCCCGGCTACCCCAGGTCAATTCTGAGGGACTTCATGGGCTGCGACGGCCTCCCCAATGACCCCGACTGGGGCTGGAATCCCCCGGCGGCAGACGAAAGGCACTGTGACAACAACGACGTGGATGTGGTCATCAAACTGGACAGCGTTGGGGGTACGGAGAAGGCTGTGGCGATTGCCATTCCTTGCGTCCTGGCGCTGTGCATGATGGTCCTCCTCTACACCGTTTTCCAGTTCAGGAGGAAGAGCACACAGCGGCACATACTGTACTGCAAGCGCTCCATGCAGGAGTGGGTCTAAAGGGATTGTTACAGTACAGAGAGCTCTGAGAAAGTTGTTACTTAAAGCCCTATAACTTGAAGGACTGTAAAGAAGTACGGTACATGAGGTTTGCCATTGGGGCAGATCTCAAGACAGCTGCAACATGTGAACTGTGCTACAAGGAAGGGAAACTATCAGCTGACCTCAGTAGATGACAGTGGCAGAGCTTCATCTTCTTTGTCCTACTAATGTGTATGTATCTGCTTTGATTTTTCTTTGGATCTCAAAATGAACTCAGTTAAGTGAGACAGAAATAATCTACTGTAAGCGGAATCTTTGTCGATCCCCATTTCTGCACGCCGCTGAAAAAGCCCCTAGCACTAACTTCAGAGGACAAATTAGATCTAGCCTTCTGCTTTACTTAATTCAATCGCCCTGGGTTGTGCTTTTTTTAGTCTAGGACCCCTGTAAAACATAATTCACCGTGAGGAGATACGAATATCGTACATAAACCAAATATGACGTTTTCTTCCAAAGAGGATTACAGCTTGATGTTGTTTTCGATCGGATATTCTTCCTCCATGGATCTAATGTTTTGGATCACACTCTGATTTTCTTTCACCGCCACTGTTCACACCTACTCATCTTCTCTGTAAGGACAAAAAAGAAGGAGGAAAAGAAACTCATGACTGTTGTGGCAGTCTGTCTGCTCACCAGGGGCCAAAATAATAATAATTAAAAAAAAAAACGCACTCTGTAATACTAATGAGACTGCCTTAATCACAGTTTGCTTCAATCCTTTCTCCTTCTGTTCCCCTGGTGTGGAGGATGGATACTGAGTGACACAGCAGGAAGACAGAAAATGCGTGTGAAGTCATTACTACTGCCCAAAATCCAACGCTAAACCAGTAGTTGAGGACATTTCGGTCCACAGAGGAGATCTCGAAAATGTCAGCTGCCAAAGATCAGCTTTCATTTGCAGCCTCACAAGAGAGAAAGACAGAGAGTAGATTTGTTGTGAATTTGTCTGTATGTACGTGTGAAAGATTGAATAATCACCCTTGTTATGTAAGTACTGAGCTCTGCTATAATTTATCATTATCTATGTTGAGTCACATATTATTACAATTTAGCAACCTTTTAAGTGTGCCAAGTGTTTGTGCCAGAAGAAGGCATGGGCCGGTTCCAAAGTTCACTAAGGTTTAAAACTTCTAAAGCTTTCCATCAAACCAGTTCTACTTTTGAAAGTCCTTTTAATGAGACACCTGAGAATATGCCCGAGTGACCAGACTCACTTTTAACTTAGGCTACTACACTATTTTCTCCCTTAGAAAATATATTAATTTGGCTGCTCTGAAATGTTTCTTGTTGCAAAAAAAAAACCAAAAACATTTGCACCCTTTAGTTGGCACTGAAACTAAAGCAGTGCCACTCTTCATTATTATCAGTTTGAGGCTATTCTGAAAATCCAAAATGGCAAACTTGGAGCAACATGCATGGCAAGCAATCACCGGTAGAGCCTACCTTGTCTTTTTAAATGAAACATGTCCCGTATCCTGCTTAGATTACTGGTATCTAAACGTTTTTGCTCCATTGGACAAAATGGTCAAGTGGAAAGTAGTCATGAGCTGCAAAATTGTAATTTTTTAAAATCAAAAACTAAAAATAATTTTGTATTTTCTTTCTTATATTTAACTGCTCAATAATAAAACTGAAGTCCCACCGCCTAGTGTCCTTCTGTGGTGTTAAATTTGTTCCATTTTTAGATTGGCATTGAAGGCAACACAAATTAAGACAAGTAAGATGACATCATGGGAGGTCTGCAGAACAAATAAACACTGCACATGTTCTCTGCTGTGCTCCTGTCCTTGCACCTGCTCACCATCTCACTTAGTGGAGTTAAAAGTAGATGAGAAATCTCTGCATCAGGGGAACTTCAACTAGTCAGTCCGGACTCGTCTTTGGACTGACTTTCCATTTCTCTGGAAATTTGGTTTGTTCGTATTGTTACACTTCCAGTGCCACTCTATAAGGGCAGAATGGACAAAAGGTATAATCTTCTGTACAAAAGTATGTCTAATAAAAACTTTGATTAAATTTAGGAGATGTTTATTTTATATTTTTTAAATTCTATGTATTAAAATAAAAACAATGTGTTAAAAGCAGCTCTGGAAGACATTTAAGAGACCAGTGCAAAGTTTTAAATTAGCACCTTTATGTCAGGCAGCCATTCCATGTCATTTGCCATTTTTTAATACACGTATTCAAAATAATACATTTTGTTTCGTCATTGAACAATTTCACTCAAACTTAAGCAATGTAAATTTTGGAATGATCTCGTTTTTCTCCAGAGTTGTTTATAGATGTACAGATATAGACATAAATACAGAAAACAATGTCATAAATGTAATAGAGCTTTATATTATTGTCACATCCGTTGAAACAAGTTTGCTTTTTGTTCAAAATAAAATAAGTTGGATCAGATTTTCCATATTTGTTTTAAGTATATGTGTCTCTATGGTGAAATCGTGGTGTTTTACAGAGTGCAATACAGCCAGAGTCTCATCCCGGCCCATGCACAACAGAGGAAATAGCGAGCAAGATGGGACAAGAGAAGGGGGGGAAAAAATCTGCTTCTTTTAATACCAGAAGCACTTAAACTTTGTCAGTTCTCTATCTTCTTATAAAACTTTTAAACATTTGTTTTTTTTGTTTGTTTTTTTGGCTGAATTCAACTGCTTTTGAGAAGAAACCCTTTTTAAGCTTTACCAGGACATAATTTGTTGTTTGTAAACTTACAGTTTGCTGATTTTTTTGTGTTGGGGAAAAATTTTAAACCAATATTGCCTACGTCTTCTGTTTTCTACACTGTAACCTCAATTAGTCATTATATAAACGAATACATATGGTTGGTTAGATTAACAAATTAACATATTACTAATGAATGTTTAGAACTACTTATATATATTTTTTTGGATTCCAATTGCATATTGGAAAGTCAAAATGAGTGAAGTTTAATCTGATGAACGCAATTCTAAAGATATACTATGAACCATGACATTTCATATATTCCATACACACGTGTATACAACTCAACTGTATATGTAAATCTTCTCTTGTTTCAGCTAACTTGATCAGTCAAACTAATCGCTGTAATGAAAGATAAACTCTCTGTTGTAAAATGGAGTTAAAATGATTAGGAGTGAGAGTTTTTAAACCATTTTTTTACGTATTACATGTACAGATGCAAATGATAACACTCATGAATGCTAGTTTAATGTCTTATTTTGGAATTGTCTTTGGAATGCCATAAATGCAAAAGTATTGTGGAGGTTGCAAAGAGCCACTTGGCAAAGCAAAAGTAGAAGTGCAAGAAATTTGCTCCCTCGGTTTAAAAAAACTGGATTCGCAAACATTTGTGTTCATTCATGTTTGAAGCAGGAATGGACTAAAAAATATATTATGATGTCTTGTGCGATATAAAGGGAACATTGTAGTGATATACACTCGACTCCAAGACACCTGCACCATTAAAAGTGGATGTAACAGGAATTAACGTTCTACAAAATCTCCTTTTCAACATGCGCAGCGTTTACTACAGTAAGGACATTGATTGCAAATCCTTGGAGAGAATTTCTTAAACTGAGGGAACCAATTGTTTGCTTTATTGTTTTTGTTTGAAGCCCTGAGGTTCTCCATTTATTACAGTTGTATGATGTTTTTGGTAGATGATTTGTGATTTCTTAAATATTTGTGTTCATTGATTTTTGTTCTATTAAAACAGCCTTGAGCTGCAATGTTAAGGCGAAGACGTATTAAATCAGAAACTGAAGATGTCCTATATCAGTTATCAAGAGGAGCTCTGGGTGAACTGTGGCTGATGACTTAGACATTTAGCTTATCATTTGTAATACATACAATTTACATACAGTAAAAGCTAATGCATGCAGATTTGAATTGAGATAATATTTGTCAACCTTGAATTGCTCTTCTACCTGTCTTTATCTGAGGGGTTAAATGACAGGACTGCATAAGCAGGTTTCTCTTGGGTGTTTGAAAGGATTTGAAATAGTCATTATTTGACTTTTGTAAAAGTTTCCTTATTGCTATTCAAGTTTTCATCAGTAAATCTATAAACAATACATGAAACCAGTAGAAACAGTGTTTAGATCTACAGTTTAGATCTACCCACATTGACCAGTGTAACTTGGAGATGGGGCAAAGCCTTTACTAGGTGTTGTGCTTGATGTTGTGTGAGTTTGTTTACTAATGGTGAGGGCTCGTGAGAGTATGAGTTACACATGACTGATAAGGAGACTTTGTACTGTATATCTTTGCAATTATCGTTCCTCAAGTCTTGCATTGCATTAAGGGCAAGAATCTGTCGATAGAATCCAGTTTAAAACGTTTTACTTTAGTTTGACAAACTCTAAGTAATTGTCTATAAAGTTATACCATGGTCTACAATTATTTTTATTTCCTTGTAGCTCTAACTCACTTAGAGTTAGACAGTTTTCTTGCTTTATTTCGAAGTCTGACTAATTCCTGTCTTGATGTATCAATCTTGGCTGACTCTTTAGTGATCTTTCTTTTTTTTCAAGTCTGTCTTGACACTTGCTGCTAAGCATTAGGGCTAATTTGGAGTGACATTAAAGGAAGCAGAGGGGACTGATCGGACAGCAGTCAGTACACCAGAGAGGGTAAAGAAGAAAAGACAAGGAGAAATCTCTGCACTCTAGATGCTTTATGCAGATATGTGAAGTTTATTCTCACAGACAAACTGTATAAGATGTTAACATGATTGCATTATATGTATATAGTGTACAAGCCAGGCTATTTGCTGTCTGTTTTGGACATTTTCTTTCTTTTTTTGATCAACTCCATGGATAAAGAAGATTATTTGTGTTGTAAATAAAAGAGGTGCATAATATATCTGACTGGATGTGAGGCTCTCACACGAACACTCAAATTCAACACTCTTTTTTTAGTCGGGCTGAACAGCGAGTTGGTCCAAACCCTCGCCACAATGTGGAGTAAATTGAAATGTAACAAAACATTTTATTTATGAAGCAGAAAAACAACTCTAGTTTTGTGCACTCATGGTGAATTGAAAAGAAAACTTGTTACAAGGTTAAAAAAAAAAGGTCATTTTACTACCACATAGATCTCCGGATAACTTCAAATTTAGGTTCAATTAGATATTTTGTTCTCAAACTGGATTTAAACAGCTTTGTTTACTTTGGATCTTATATTTTCACTTCTCTTTGTGTTTAGAACTTTATCCTGTCTTAATCTCATAAAATAGTCTTATTCAACTTTTTGTTCTCGGTTACTTTTGCTGTCTTTATTGTCTGTCTGTCATTTAATCTGTTTGAAAACGCTCTATGAATGATGTTCGACTGACTGAGCCCCGCTTCCAAAATCTTGAACTATTCTTTAATGCGTAGTTTATTTGCACAAACTGAGATGAAGAAAAATGAAAAACAAATTAACAGTAATCACCATGAAATTAAATCTCTACAATGATTTTTCAACAAGAAGAGACAGTAAAGAGAGAATAATTGTGAACCGACTGTGAACCTTGATGCAATAGAGGCAACTAAAATATGAGCCTTTAGGGAAATCATTCACACATAAAAGTCTTTATCTTTGTCACAGTCTGCTGATGACATCGAGGGACACTTCTCCTTATTGCAGATTTCTTTCTGGCCTTCTGCCTTGGTCAGCCCGCTTGCTTTTTAAGGTAAAAACAGCAACAACAAAAAAAAAATGATATCAGTTTGTTATAATGCAAGAAATATTTACAAACTAAATATGAGTAAATAGTTTACCATTGTAGAGGAGGCAATAGTCATTGGGATCAGTTCCATTCTTTGATTTTGTGCTAGAAATAGCCTGTGGACAGACACCGTATATATGTTTTAAAACAAACATCCTGTAATTTTTCTTATTTTAATTTGCAATGCAGTAAACTAACTTTATTTTTGCAGAAGGACTTTGCAGCAAGTGGGCCGAAGACAAAGTTAATTTCTGTAATTTTGCCTGACTTAGGAGGTGTGCTCTAGTTCAAGTTCTTCTGGGGACTCGCTCATTATCTAAGGAACAAAAGCAAGAGCAAACATACCATACTTTAATATCAATAAATAAATGTGTTGATATGAGCAATGCAAGTATTGCATTGCTCAGTTTTTGCTCAGTATTTCATCACCATATACATGCACTTCTCTGGACCGTCTCTACGCTTCTTTGTGCTCCAAGCCTTCAGCTGGTTCACCAGATCACTCACAGGTTCAGAGCAGGACAGCATAAAGAAAGATCCTTCTCATGTCTTAGAACAGACAGACAGACAGACAATGAAAGTAACAAACTGCACAAAAAAAAGAGACATCTCAACAACTATCTTCATTTCCTGTCATATTGCTATGCATTTTGATGGATCTACAGTTGATGAGGCGGGTAAAACAAACTGCAGGAATAAAGTAAAGACCAACTGAGATCTGAGTCATGGTGGCAGCATGTGAGGAGTCTCTTATATCTTCTGTGATGGCATAGTGTGCCTCTAATGTATATGATGTTAGTGAGACAGACACAAAGCAGAACAAGCCAAGCAAAAAAGTAAACATCCTTATGGTGGATGGTGACTCTTTTTTTTATCTTCTGGAAAAACGATTATTTACACAGCTGCTCAATTTTCTTAAAAATTTGTTTTAAATCACTCCTAAGAAATGTTCATGTATACAACCAGGAGGAGCATACAATCTGACCTGTTTTGCACATGAAAATATATCTTGATAGTTTCCTTGTATATGTAGAAGTTTGTCAGAAAAACATAACTATTTCTCTGACTGAAGGAAAACATAATCTCCCTCTTCATCTAAGAATGAAATAAAAGAAACATGTATTTGGACTATAGCTCTGGAATAAATGTGGCTGTTTAATAGTTTTAAATTATCTTACAAACTGAACTTTGTCAAATTGAGTTTTTTTAAATTTTTTTATTTCTACAACAAGATCAAAGAAATATAATGTAATTGAATGTTTGAAACAGTACATTATATAACACAATTTTATTTTCTGTCTTACAATTTAGACCAAATTTTAACACCTATATATAAAGGCAAGCAAATTCAAAATATATGCTAATATTTTTCTCACTTTGACTTTAGTCTAACCTTTCACATTTTGATTCACTATAATATCTTAATTAGCCTTGAAGATGACAAACATGCTGCCTGGGTCATGCTCACCATCATCCAAATTGCATTTCCATGCCTCCGCATGACAATTCAAGCGCCTTTCAGGTGCTGCTTTTGAGTACAATGCTCCATATAAACCCCAAAGAAAGAAATAATTAGTCAGTCCTGCCAGAAGAAAGTCCCTCATCATGGCTGCGAGGACTGTTTTTGTTGCATTCCTTCTCTTTTTAGGAATGTGCATCGTCATTACAAGTGGAAGACCGGCTCCATCTTCAAACGCTTTCTGCAGGATTATCTGGTAAGGGAGTGTTTCTCTTTTTTTTAGCAAAGTGTTGTGAGTGGAGCCAAACTTCTAACTGTGATCTGATCCAGGCTATTTGGAGTTCCATGTGATCAGGTTAACATGGCTATTGTGACTGGCATAAAAGACGACAAGAAGTCATACAAGGTATAAAATAAATGTACAAGTGCTGCTTTCAGAGTCCAGATTCATAGAGGCTAAAAACATTTCTGTCTTCCACCCGAGCTTGGCCCGGTAACACCAGATCAAATTCTAGCCAATCACACGGCCAAAGATGGTGAAATTGCAAACCTTAATTTCACAATGGACTCTACAACCCGGAGTTTGGGCTGCCATGTGCAGGTGAGGCAAATGTCTCTTGAGTTCAAGCTGTTTTTAACTTGGTTATATAATTTTAGATATTAAAGCAAGAGCAAAAAATAAAATGTCTAAGCTAAATGTTTTTCCTTCATGTAAACTATTCTGGATTCATATCTGTTCAGGGCTCCTCAGTGTCTCCATTTTGGTTCAGCCCATTTGATAATGGAACAAATTACTGCAACCTCTACAAAGTTATAAAAGGTCAGTTTTTGCATTTGGATAAATAATATTCAGCATGACAAATTTTCAGTTAAAGAATCATTCAGTCATAACATTTTTCAACCTTTTCCCACTTGTCATTTTAATTGTTTTGTCTTTTCTTTGTTCAGGAAGTGGACTCAACAAAACCCCAGGCTTTGTTGAATTCACCAATGAGTGGCTTTGTCTTGGCTTTGGCATTTCTGTCTGCAAATGAGAAGGAAAACAAAAAATGTGTGATTGTGTCCTGTTAAAAACAACGGAGAAAAACAAAGAAAACATGTTTATTCTTTAGCAAAAGATTTGTTTTGCAGGAGGACTACATGCATGACCAAATGCACATTTGTTGAAGCGACCGTGAAAAAGCTGTCATTGTTAAAACTCAAATCTCTCCATATGAACTAAGATTAATGATTAAAAAGGGTGAATAAATATTTGCTTGATGAAAATACTGGTGTCTTTGTCTGCAAAGATCTATAACATTATTTTCTTGTATTCTTTTTATTTTCCAAAGAATGACAACAAAATGCTGCACTACAGTCATGCTCACCACAAGACTGTTATGTTCTCAAACAATTATGCATGTGGACTTGAGATTGTTTTCCATTACTAAAGAAAATTGTTGCATTTGCAGTACCCACAGCCTGCTGACTGTTCTACATCCTGGAGGATGATTGCATGGTTATCATCTTATGCGTTACAAAGGCTTAGACCATATAAATATATTTCAGGAGTTTAGCAGGAAAGTCAATAGATGAATTGTTCCAAAGAATTCAGAGAAATTATTCTTAGCTCGAGAGCAATTTCTTTCTTGCCGTGACAAATCCAGTAGAAATAATTTTTTTGTTGTTGTGGGTTTTTTTTTTTTTTTTTGCATTTTGTGTACTTATATGCTTCCATCTTTATCGTTTGAGTTTAATAATTGATTTTTATTATTATTTTGGCAATAATACAGTTTTTTTTTACATGTTTAAAGCTCAAGTAAACAATTAGAAATTTTTTAAACCATGACCAGGACAGACACATTATTCTGTATTTGTTTTTGAACATATAAAATGTAAATTGAAGCAATAAAGTTCAATCTGATGGCTACAACTTGTGGTTGTTTGATGATTCAGGACGTGACGATCTCGTCTGCATCAACAGCTTGAAGCAACTTCATGGTTTGAGAATGACGCTATTAGTTTAACACAGTGATGTCCGTGCATTTTGATAGCCTGAACATAAAATTTGAAGGGAAATTATATCAAGTGAGAGAGGTGGCTTCGGAGACTGTACAACAACTATAAACTATAAAACAACATAGATTCAGCTTTAGTTATTCAGATTTATTAAGTTACATGTTTAAAACAGTACATGTTTTTTAAAGTACAGCGGATGAACTGAAGGGTTTCATTTTTATAAACCATGCAGATAAAACAAAATGAAAAATAAGATATGAAAAGCGGCATCCAACTCTGGAAAAAATTCAGAGACCTCTTAAAATGATCAATTTCTCTGATTTTACATTTTATAGGTATTTATCTGAAAAAAATGAACATTGTTACTACTGACAGCACGTCTCTGATATTCCAAACAAAAATTTGGTTGTTTTTGGCAGAAAATGAGACATGGTCAAAATAACAAAAAAGATGCAGTGCTTTCAGACCTCAAATAATGCAAAGAAAACAAGTTCATATTGTTTTAGAAACAACAATAGTAATGTTTCAACTCAGGAAAAATTCAGAAATTAACATATGGTTATCAGAGTTTTCAATAGGATTCAGTGGAGTGGTCTCTTTTTTTTTTCTTTGCCAGAGCTGTACATGACTGTGAAATACATGCGATAGTGGCATAAAAATAGTAAAAAAGTTCCGAAAATAAAAACATAAACAT